GCCATTAGAGGGCCATTTCATAATATCAGAATTCGACACCGACACCGGCAAACCATTGGGACCACATGCTCAGACATATGTCAATCAATGTGGGTTCATTGTAAGGGATAGGATCCCAGTTAGTGCTCGTGAATGGAAGCAGAAGATATCCGCTCGTAATGTTATTTTTGTATCTGATCGTGACAAGAACCTAGCTTGGAGAGATATCACTCAGCATTTCACATTATAAGCAGATGATGCTTTGAAGGAACTAGTGAGGGATTGGACAATGAAGAAGATGGCAACATTGTTCCAGAGTTGGAAGAAGACATTGTATAAAAAGTTTATCTTGAAGAATGAAACTCCGAATTTCAATGCTAAGGCGTTTGTCAAGTTGGAGTCCCATTGGGATGACTTCGTACAATACAAGACATCTCAAGAGAGTGAGGAACGTGTAATGAGGAATCAGTAGAATGCCCGACAGAAGCAATACCATCATCGCATGGGATCAGGTGGTTATAGGAGTGCTATTCCCAAGTGGCAGAACCTAGAAGCAGAGATTACTGCTAATGGAATCATACCTAAAACAATAGAGAAGAACTGGCCTCAACGCGCGAAGAATTGGTTCTACGCTCATGGGGGAAGCCTAGACCCAGACACTGGCAAGCTAATTTTTGGCCAAAAAAATGAGAGAGCAACACAGAGACTAGCTCGTGCTAGGGAAGAAGCTGATAGTGGTGTTTTCAAGCCCAACAGAGAAAAGGATGAATTGACATATGCCCTAGAGAATCCCGAACACGGTGGTCGAACAAGAGGCTATGGGGCGGTTCCGTGGCTACAAGCATTCCCAGCAGACAGGGATACCTACAGAAGCCGCCAGAGAAAGAAGGATGAGGAGGCAGACTGAATCCGTGTATTGGAGCAATTTGTTAATGAGTCACGACAAGCATTGCTTGAATCACGTGAACGAGAAAAATCTCTTGAGGTAAGAATGCAGGAGGAGATCAAGAGGCAAGTGCAGCTAGCAATGAGTCAAATGCAATCGCAAACAACGCCGGGAGTCACCATTAGCCCCGTTGGTCAGATGAAAAGCAGTTGTGCTTCCACGGAGCTGCCAGTTATTCAAGGTGACGCTGGGTTGCGCTTCCCTATTGATGACATTACCGAGCCTCTAACAACATATGAGCTGCACATTCCAGATGGTAATTTTGCATCAATCATGGTGGCTATCGGGGTTGTATCTCCAATAGACCGAACGAAGACACCAAGTATCCATGGGTCAGTTATTCAACCTGGATATGCTAGCGTCTCGGTCGATAGAGTGCTCAAAGGTTACAGCAATGTTCCTCTTAACATTGAAGGCGGTGATGGGGAGAAGACACTAGGAGAAGCAGAGAAGACATTTATTCAATGGCGCAAACACTTCATCATCATTCCTGGGGCGCCACCGCTTCCCCTACCTCACCCTAGGTACGAATGAAAGTGAATGAAATATTATTTTTCCATTAATTTTATATTGGCTTCAAAAATAATTGACCCACAACTTGTTTTTGTAGCAGGGTCTCCCCCTAGCCTAGCCCAATCATTCATTCCCCATCTCATCACAGCGTCGCGGGGGGCGAGACGACTTCATCCCCACGGCGATCTCCAACTCCTACACCGGCCCCATCGCCTCCACAACGATCTCCAACTCCTACACCGGCCCCACCGCCTCCACAACGATCTCCAACGCCTCCACGCCGGACTCCAACACCGGCCTCATCGCCTCCATGCCGGTCTCCAACACCGCCCCCACCCCCTCCACAACGACGCACTACAAAGACGTCTAAGGTCCCGGCGGCAAAGAAGACCCAAAAAAAAGAGTTATTTCTCAAGAAATACCTCCTAAAAAGACTGATGAGCAAATAGCAGCTGAAGAAGACAAAAAAGTGAAAGATTTTTTTATAGATATCCAAAAGCAGAGACAAGCGAAGCTTAAGGAGAAGTCGTACTTTTACATACCACGAGATCAGCTAAGGCAGAAGGTCGAAGCTCACAAGAAAAAGAGGCTTGAAGTTCGTAAGCCTCCGCCACTATCAGACTATGACCGCTCCCTCGTGAAGTCACATGATGCACATAAGAAAAGGAAAAGAGCATCAGGGAAGGATGTCCCACAGCTCGGACAACAGAAGCAACCAATGCAAAATCTTGTTGTTGCTAATGAATATGGTTCCAACATAGAAGTCTATCGACCAGACAACTCTGGAGAAGTGTCGGTTCAAGACCTTAATGCTTTTTTTGAACAAACTGGTTTAACCTTGGATCAAGTGACGGGCAAAGCTCCAATCCAGAACCTGGAAGTTGATACCTAGAAGACTTATAAATTTGGCAAAAGTCTGTACAACCCTGCGGCTCTGAATGAATTGGGTACGCAAATGTACTTGCTCAACAAGTGGTACATGCAGGCGTGTGGCAGGGGTGAGCAGTGGATCTTTGTCAGATTTAGAGATCATCATTACTTCCGTGGCGATGACATCTTACATATTAGTTTCGAAGAATTGCATCAACTATAATACTTGGACGCTCTGAACAAATCAATCATTAGCTCCTTTTGTTTGTAAGTGATTCTTACTTTTATTTAATAAACTCACTTCCATGCGTACGTGTATATAATTATCCTCACATGTAACTTACATTTATATACAGATTCCAGATGTCAGAGCTCCAAAGAATACAAGACACCAGTGTTGACTTCATTGATCCTTATATCGTATTCAAAACCAATATTATTGTCAAGGAGCACTGGGTATCTGAAGCACAGACGAATATCATGAAGTTCTTCGTGAAGCAGCACGACAAGACAACAATACTTTTTCCGTACAACTTTGAGTAAGTGTTAATAATAATGTAGTCTACACATTTTATGTAATATCAATACAACTTATATGCATGTACGTGTGTGTATAAACCAATGCAGGTTTCACTGGATACTCATTGTCATTGAGTTAAACTCAAATCAGTTAGTAATCTTGGACTCATTGAGAAAAGAGCGAGCACTATACCAAGATATGATAGACATTATCCAGGGATAATTTCAATCTGTCGCGCACAACTATTATTGAATAGACTTTGCCATAATTTATTAACGATCGTACATTATTGGTCGCACAAGGTTTGGAAAGAGTTTATTCGGCAACACCGCAAGGATTGCAAGACACCACTTAATGTAGTTGAAATACCAGTAAGTTATACTATATATACTTCTCCACGTGTTTAATTACTATATCGTACTTCAATTTACGTGTGAGATGATGGGAATAATCCTCTTCTCGTACAGTGGTGTTTGCGGCAGGAACCAGGTAATAACTTGTGTGGATACTACGTTTGTGAATTTATCACTACATACATAAGAAGAACTCCTGAAGATGTCCTCAGAGTACGTATATATCAATTTTTTATTTATTTTTAAATGAATATATATATATAAATATATATGTATTAATACTTTTCCTTTTATTTCAAATGCAAGACTGAATGGTTGAAACGAAGGGTCATGCAAAAAGACCATCTGAAAGCAGTTCAAGAGTCAATAGCAGGATATCTTCTAGAAAAAGTGCTAAATCCCAACGGCGAGTTCTACTTTGATCTAAGGAACTAATGATGTAAATTAAATGTTTATTGATATCGTTATTTTCGAGAACAAGATTATGAAAGTGTTGTATATATACATATATATCTATAATATATATAGTTTCATACTTTATTTGAATATAATAATGCTCGAGATGAGAATTATATGTAATTATATGCGTGCGTGTATTTATATTAGCAGCGTAGAATACGTACATAAAAACATATTATATATTAAACAAATATGTGTAACTGAACTGAAAACAAATTAAAAAAAGAAGAAGAAAAAGAACCTTTAGTCCCGGTTGGGGTTACAGGTTTGCTCGGCTGGAGGGCCTTTAGTCCCGGTTGGTAACACCAACCGGGACTAAAGGTCCCTCTTTAGTCCCGGCTCGATGACCCGGGACTGAAAGTTCCACCTTTAGTCCCAGGATCGTTGTCCCGGCGCGGTAACCGGGACTAAAGGCCGTTACCGCCCGGGACAACAAGTCCATTCTGTAGTAGTGCTCTGTCCTAAAATAATAAGTGTTGTTTTGGTTTCCGTGTCGGTCAAACATTCTTAACATTAACTATATTTATAAAAAAATATTAGCAACATTTGTATCCCCAAATAAGTTTATTATGAAAATAGATTCAATGATCTATCTAATGGTACTAATTATGTACTATAAATATTAATATTTTCTTGTATATATTTAGTCAAAGTTAAAAGAGTTTGACTTCTCAAAAAGGGAGTATGACACTTATTTTGGGATGGAGTGAGTAGTCATTACCTGCTCTAGTATACCTGATAGTGATGGTCCGGCTAGTGTAGTGGCTGTTAACAGACCTAGCCGAGGTGGGATCATTATGGGTGTGTTTAGTTAGGTGGTCAACCCCTGGCCTGGTTCCCTAGATAAGAGATGGGCTGGAACCTGGCTTCGGGGGGCCATCCGTACTCCCCTGGCCTGGCCAGGAAAGAACACGGTGGAGGTTGTTTTTGTGGAGCGGTTTGGCCAAGCCTTTGTCTCGGTTCGCATCACCTCCCATGCAGTGATGCGCTTGTCGACCTCTCCGCTCGTGCGCCGCCGCTCCTCCTCGCTCGCGCCCGCTCCTCCTCCGTGCGCTCGTCGTCCTCCTCCCCTGCTCCTCCTCCCATCAAGGCTCCAAGCAGAGCACTCGTGGTCGCAGTCGCTGGTAACAGCCAGGAGCTCTGTGCTCTGTGCCGCATCCAGGAGCTCATCCTCCTCCCAGAAGGCATGCACTGGGCACCGGGAGGCCGGTGTGATGGGGCGCGGCCGGCACCGGCATGAGCACCCACCACCACACCCACCTCCTGGAAGAAGCGGCACCACCAGATCCGATCTGCTCATGCTGCGCCCACTACGTCTCGGACCACCAGGGCCCAGTTGCGAGGTGCTGCGTTGCCGGCCATGGCGAGGGGCCAGAGCTGCTCGGTCCTTCTCCTCCCTTCAGCGTACTCCCACGTCCTGGAAGAAGCGGCGGTGTGCCATGCTCGTCGTGCTAGCCCGCTGCTCGCCTTGCTGTTATCGCATGCCATGCTTGCCTTGCTACTGCCGTGTGCCATCTTCGCTGAGGATGTCCACCACTTGTTTGACGAAATGCCTCGAAGGGGGGTAACCTTACCGATTTGAAGAAGATGTGACTGTATCAAAACAAATCAGACAACCAAACACACCCTGAGGCTAGCCAGGCTAAGACAGACAACCAAACAACCAGGAGTTAGCTTGGTAGGAGCAAACCAAATGGCCAAGGCTACCCAGGCTAGGATTCTAACCAGGCTAAAGTTAGCCAGAAAACCAAACACACTTTGTACTACTGCTTTCTGGCTTCCATCACTAAATCGGTTTTCCCCTAGAAAGCACACTCCGACCTTCTCTCAAAGCAAAACATACTATCAAAAGTGCACAACGTACGCATCCAGGGCGTCCTTCGCCGCGGCATTACCATTCTAGTTAGTTGCATCCAAAGAGCAAAAAGCTTAGTACACCTACGGAACCACAGCAATAGCATCTTGTCTCCATTCACCACCGACCAACAGGCGGCGCTAGAGCGGGGCGACGATGGATCTCGTGGTCGGCGCCTCCAACGACACTGTGAGATCCCCTGGTGAACAAGCTCGGGAGCCTCCTCGCGCAGGAGTACACGCTGATCCGTGGCGTCCGTGATGACATCCAGTACATCACCGACGAGCTGGGCAGCATGCAGGCCTTCCTCAACAGGCTCAAGCGGGCGCCAGCCGACCACGACGAGCAGCGCCTGGACTGGATGAAGCAGGTCCGAGAGGTGTCGTACGACATCAAGGACTGTGTCGACGACGTGGACCATCGGCTCAGCGGCGAACCCCGCGGGAGCGGAACAATGACGTATCTCCACAAGAAGTGGTACCTGCTCACCATGCTGCACGCGCGCCACTGCATAGCCACCGAGTTCGGCAACCTCAAGCACCGGGCACAGCAAGTCAGCGAGCGGCCGACCAGGTACGGGGTGGAAAACCTGACAAAAGTTGAAGGTCCCGCTGGAGTGAACACTTCCCCAGACCACCGAGCGCCACCTCCCCAGCTGTGGGAATAGAGGACGCCATGGAGAAGCTCAAGCCGTGGTTTAACGATGGTGCACAGGATACTGCTGAACCTCAACTGAAATTCCTCGCTATTGTTGGGTTGGTGGCCTTGGCAAGACCACGCTTGCCGTGGCGCTGTACCGTGAGTGTGGAGACAAATTCGCTCTAAAAGCATCCGTGCTTGCATCACAGAAGTTCCATCTGCTGACTGTCTTGAGAAGCATAATCAGGCAGCTGAATGAGCAGCAATCTGATCCATCCAAGACTGACTTCGAAGGGATTGAAGAATGGGGACTGGACAAGCTCAAAGACAAACTCGCCAACCAGTTACTACAACAGAGGTACTGCACTATAATTTGGGCTCAGTTTGTTTTTTTCTTTATCCCACAAACCATTTGGATTTCCTAATTCCTATGGCACCATAGTTTAAGTAGGCTCGATTCTATCATCATACTGTTGGCATTTGTTTTATAGATATAGATTGATAGATTTTGATCTTGTAATATTGCTTTCAAACATTGCGTGAAATAGGTAGCATATCCTGATACAAGGCATTTGGTCATAGTAGTTAATTATTGTACACTTGTGTAGTACTAATCATCAATTAGTCTTGCAATGTGTTTTGGAGGACAATTGCTCTTGTAAAACTATCATTTCTTTATAATGCTTGAAATAGGTACCTTATCTTGATGGATGACATTTGGTCTGTATCAGCATGGGAAAATATACGCGACTCTTTTCCCAGTAACGGGAAGGGCAGAATAGTGGTGACGACAAGGTTCAAATCCGTAGTCGAAGCCTGCCGCCGCCCACAAGGCTATGTCCATGAGCACCACGCACTCCTCGAAGAGGACTCATGCAAATTGTTCTATCAAGCTATCTCCAGTATTGGGTATGGGATTTGTCATTCTAAGCCCATTGATGGTGGGATTATCATGAAAATATGTGGACGTCTTCCTTTGGCAATAATTTTAGTAGCAGGGCTTGTGGCTAGTAAACTAAAATCAAACACAGACCAGGAAGTCCATTCACATTTGGTTGATGTGGACAAGGATTTAAGTCAGGTGTTGGTGAATAACCTCACCACAGATGGAGTGACTCACATACTAAATCACTGCTACCACCATTTGCCGGCTGATCTCAAGACCTGCCTGCTGTACTTGAGCATGTTTCCCAAGGGCTGCATGATCAGTAGAAAAAGCCTCATCAGAAGGTGGATAGCTGAAGGGTTCATTGCTGAGAAGCATGGGAAGAACGTTGAGGAAGTTGCTGCGGACTGCTTCAATGAACTCATTAGCAGGAACCTGGTCTGTGCAGTCAACAACAGTAGCAATGGCAAAGTGAAGAGCTGCCAGATTCATGACATGGTTCTCGAGTACATCGTCGCCAAGTCCAGTGACGAGAATTTCATCACCATTGTCGGTGGCCACTGGCAGACACCATTTCCGACCTACAAGGTGAGGCGACTGTCAGTCCACAAGAGTGACCGGAAAGAGAAGGAAACAGTTGAGAGGATGAAATTGTCGCATGTCCGTTCCTTAACAGCTTTGGGGAGCTTTAGGACACTTCATTCTACTTGGCTCAGATTTCAGATACTGCAGGTGTTGGATCTTGAAGGCTGCAAGGACTTGTCCTTCCATCACCTCAAGAAGATATGCCAAATGCATCAGTTGAAGTACTTAAGCTTGCGCCGGTCGGATATTGAGATGATCCCAAAGAAGATAGGCAAACTGGAATATTTGGAGGTACTTGATATAAGGGAGACGGAAGTAAAAAAATTGCCGGCATTAGTTGAGAGGCTTCAGAGAATGGTACACCTGCTAGCTGGCGACAAGAAGAAGAGAATTGCATTGAAGTTGACTGAAGGAATCACAAAAATGACGGCTCTCCAAACACACTGAGGAGTTCATATCTGTACTGGCTTGGCCCTTAAAGCCTTGGAGAACCTCACCAACCTGAAAAAGTTCATTGTTTACAGCAAATACCAAATAAGCTTCCGAGGAGGAGGAGCAGGGCAAGGAGGCAGAGATCGTGCCTGCCGCTCCCGATCCCGATCCGCAGCAGCAGCATGAAGAGGAAAGGGATGTCATGGCGCATCCTGATTCTGCGAAGCAGCATTCAGCTTCTGAGGAGGTGGAGGCCAAGATCAAGGAGCTATTAAGAGTGGCGCAGGCCCTTCGTGCGAGGATATCTCAACTGCTGGGGCCTGCTGGCCGACATGGCGTTGCGACGCTAGACGGCACTGCTTGATCTTCGTGGAGACGGAGATAAGCTTCCTTGCGGCGTTCTTGACGACATTGAATTCGAACCTCCGTGGAGACCAAATTAACCGTCCTCACCTGCAGCATTTCATCGACGAGTGCTCGACGAGGGTGCTGGGACTCTCTGTCAGATTTCTCTACACGACCAACCTGTGAGGAGCACAGCAGCTTGGGGAAGGGGAAAAGAGGAGCAGGGGAAGAACAGCAAGGAATTTAGTTCGGATGAGAGCTTGATCGATAAGAGTTTGTGATACAATTTGTTCATGGTTTGTACTCTCCTCTCGCCTTCCTACTTATACTAGCTAACATTAGGTCCTCCAGGATGGGCCGGCGTAACGGCTGTTGGGCCTCCGGAGCCTCTTGGGCTGGAGCGCGGGCGATGCAGAGGCTGAGCCCGTCGCTGTGCCATCATCAGCAACATCCGGTGGAAGCTGGGTGCTGACATCCCCCTCTTCTTCGGAGCCGGCATGTCCCCAGGCCGGTGCACGCCCGAAAACGCTGACGGAGTGGTAGAAGAGCTTCCCAGGTTGCCAGCTCCGGCGTGGAGTTGCTCCACTGGATGAGTTCTTGCTCAACCGGCTTATCACCAGCAGTCCAGCGGCGTTGCAGTATTTTGTAAGGCACCTGAAACTGAGACAAGGCAGAAGGAAGTGAAGGTGAGACCTGCTGACCACCAGGCGAAAGCTTCAGCTGAGAGACGTGAAAGACGTCGTGGATGGCAGCTGACGATGGTAGCTCAAGCTTTATATGCCACAGCACCAATCCGCTGAAGGATCTTGAATGGTCCAAAGAACCGGAAACGGAGTTTGTTGCTGGAACGGCGAGCAACAGACTACTGAACATAGGGCTGCAATTTGAGGAACACCATGTCACCAACAGCAAAGTTGCGTTCCGAACGACCCTTGTCCGCCTGCTTCTTCATTCGAGCTTGTGCACGTAACAGGTGCTGCTTAACCAGGTCCAGCAGCCGCATCCAGGATTGCAGATCAGGCACCGGGGCAAGGGAATCAATGTCAAGGCCAAAGTGCCGAGGCTGTTGACCGTACAGCACCTCAAAAGGAGAGCAGCCCAAAGCGGAGTGAGTAGACGAGTTATACCAGAATTCGGCCAAGGACAGCCACTTGCTCCACTGAGAAGGACAGGCATGCACAAAACAGCGTAAATATGTCTCTAAGCACTGATTAACCCGCTCAGTTTGGCCGTCGGACTGTGGGTGATAAGAGGAACTGAGGCGAAGGTTAGTGCCAGCCGCACGAAAAGGAGTTGCCAGAACTTACTGGTGAACACTCTGTCGCGATCCGATATGATGGATGTAGGGAGGCCATGTAAACGGAAGACAGTGTCCACTGTGAAGGGGTGCTTCAATGGAATGAAATGAGCGAATTTGGAAAACTTATCGACGACAACCAAGATAGCGTTGGCATTGCCTGACTGCGGAAGGCCTTCGATGAAGTCCATAGTGACGACTTCCCAGGAATGAGCAGGCACTGGCAGTTGCTGAAGGAGCCAGGGATAGCGAACATGCTCTGGCTTTGCTTGGAGACAGACTGTGCATGACTGAACGTAGGACCATACTGCCGACTTAAGCCCTGGTCAATAGAATAGACGCTTGATGCGTTGATAAGTGACTAGGGCACCAGAGTGTCCTCCCACAGGGCTGGAATGGAACTCCTGGAGCACCTGTCGCTGCAATGTGTGACTGGAGCCCAACCAAATACGATTCTTGTGCCGGAGAACTCCTTTAGACAGAGAAAATGGAGGACAGGAGGTTGGAGCGACTGTCAGCTTGGTGATCAACTCCTGTGCGGCAGCATCAGACTCGTAAGAGTGGACAATATCAGCGAGCCATTGATGTTGCACTGAAGAAATGGCGAGCACGAGCGGAGGGTGCAGTCGCCGGGACAGGGCGTCGGCAGCACCATTGTCACAACCTTTGCGGTACTAAATGCGGTACTGGAGTCCTTGCAGTCGAGCAAAGACCTTCTGTTGCCATGCTGTGTGGAGGCGCTGCTCGTTCAGGTGGGTTAAGCTTCGATGGTCGGTATGAATGACGAACTCCGCTTGCAACAGATAGTGGCGCCACTTATCCACGGCCATAAGAATGGCTAAGTACTCCTTCTCGTAAACAGTGAGGCCTTGAGTGTGTTGGCTAAGAGGCTTACTGATAAAAGCCAACGGGTGCCCATTCTGATGCAACACCGCGCCTATACCGGAACCAGATGCATCGGTGTCGATATGAAACGGCTGAGAGAAGTCCGGCAAGGCCAACACCGGAGCAGAACAGAGGGCATCCTTCAGCAATTGGAATGCCTCAGCGTGAGTGGGAGTCCACACAAACATCTGATCTTTCTTAAGAAGCTCAGTGAGAGGCTTGGCAATAATGCTGAAGTGGCGGACGAACTTTCGATAGTAACCTGCAAGTCCCAAGAAGCCACGCAACTCCTTCACTGTTGTCGGAACTGGCCAATCAACAACGGCTTGGATCTTGGAAGCATCGGTAGAAAGACCGGCAGCACTAACCACATGGCCAAAATAAGGCATGGACTCACGGGCAAAACTGCACTTTGAGAGCTTCAATTTCCATTGATCAGTACGCAACCACTGGAATACTTGCTGAATGTGACTGAGATGCTCCTCAAGGCTGCAGCTATAGATCAAGATGTCGTCAAAGAATACCAAGACGAATTTACTAAGACCAGGTGCAAGCGTTACGTTCATGGCCCCTTGGAAGGTGCCCGGAGCGCCTGTGAGGCCGAAGGCCATAACATTGAACTCAAACTGCCCGAAGTGAGTCTGAAATGCCGTCTTATATTCCTCACCCGAGCGGAGCAGGATTTGATGGAATCCCGACCGAAGATCCAGTGTCGAGAACCAACGGGCACCATGAAGCTCATCCATGAGTTCATCAAAAACAGGGACTAGAAACTTGGATTTCTGTGTGAGTGCATTGAGATGGCGAAAATCAACACAGAATCGGTATGAATCATCCTTCTTTTTGACCAGTAAGACAGGCGAAGAGAATGCACTGACGCTCGGCCGGATGATACCCTGTTGAAGCATAGATTGTACTTGCGTCTCGATCTCGTCTTTCAGTTTCGGAGGATAACGATATGGCCGAATAAAGATTGGCTGCGCCCCGGGTACCAGCGGAATCTCGTGATCACAAGCTCTTGAAGGAGGAAGGCCTGTAGGTTCTTGAAAGAGGTCACTGAACTCCTCAAGCAATGGCTGCACTGCCGGATGAACTGCTGGAGAAGGACTGATGACAGCAGAGTGACTAGGCAACAGCTCAACTTGCAGGAGTACGTGCTGAGGAAGAGCCGGAGACAAACCCTGAAGAATCCGGACCTGACCATCATGGGGCACGGCCAACCATTTGCGCCGCCAATCAACTTGCATCGGACTATGTTCTTCAAGCCAGTCCATACCAATGATAACATCAAAATTGGCCAAAGGCAGAGTCCTAAAGTTGGATCTGAATGTGCAGCCATCCACTGTCCACGGTACATCAACAAGAACAGACTGGCTGACCAATCGGCCTCCGCCGGCGACCTGAACTGAGCTTGGCGCTGAGAGCAACTGAACATCAGGCAACTGAGACAACAAGGACTGATTAACAAACGAGGAAGAACTGCCAGAGTCAATCAAAATCTGCACAGGCACTTGGTGAATGGTACCGATCAGTTGGACAGTACACGATGCAGGAATCCCAGAACTTGCAGATTTGGACAACGCCGACATCAGTTGCTCCGCTGGGCTGTCCTCAGTAGACGAATCAGCCAAGGAGTCATCAGAGGAGACGGAATCCCAAAGAGCATCCACTGCTTGCAGGACTTCAGGCGCACATCGATGATCGCGGCTCCACTTGGCGCCGCACTTGTAGCAGAGGCCCAGTGCGCGCCGATATGTCTTGAGGGCTTGGAGCTTGACATCAACGGTGGCCGGCGCCCGGGCTGCAGGCACCACCGGGACAGTGCCAGGCTTCTCGGCACGTGGTGAAGGCGGTGGAAGCAGCAACGGCACACGTGCTTGGGGGGCAGTCTGATACGCCGAGTACCAATCAACAGCACGTGCCGGCTTGGGCCCAGACACCTCTTCCCGCAACAAGGCCAAAGAGCAGGCAGTATCGAAAGTTTTTGGGCGTTGGACAAGCACGATGGCTTTGATGTCAGGTTTGAGACCGTCAATGAACCGCATAGTAAAATACATGGGGTCATTAGTTGGGGAATAGGACTTGAGTTGATCCACCAGTTCCGAGAATTCAGTAACATAGGCAGAGACAGTGGTTTTCTGATAGATGTTGAAGAGTTGGCGAAGAAGCAATTCGTGCTGATCGCGATCAAAGCGATCGTGAAGAAGTTGACAGAAGGTTGCCCATGTGGCATTCTCAAGCTGGGGGGTGATGGATTGGTACCAACGATCTGCAGGGCCTTCGAGATACATCTCGGCAACACTGAGCCACATGAGTTCATCGACTTGGTACATAGAGAAATACTTTTCACAGCGACGACGCCACGCCAACGGCGAGGGTTCTCACCATTAAACTTGGGAAAGGGAAGCTTGGGTAAACGGCCGAGGTTGGCAGCAATGTGGGTGGAATCGGGGGTATTGCAACATTTGTGCAAGGGGGTGGGGTGATGACTGATAGGTGTGGGCGGAGGCATCGGGTGGGTCTGGGAAATTGGGGGAGGCTGATGGATCGGTTGGAATTGAGGAAGTGGAGGACGATGAGGGATTAGTGGTTTGGGATCAGGAACTGGTGGCGGACGAGGAAGTTGAATACCAGGAAGCGGGACATGAGAAGGTGACGGCGAGGACATACCCGATGCCGGGACATGAGTCCACGTCGTAACGACGCCAGACCCAACATCCTGTGGAGTCACAGCAACGCAGTGCCCGCTGGGCGAAGTAGAGGAGGATCCGACGGTGGCGAAAGCGGACGTCGCCGGCGGTGAGGGAAAAACGCCAGGCTCCCGTTGCGGCGCAGTGTCGAACACCACGCGGTCGTAGTGCTTGGACATCCTCTGAACCTTCAGCGTTAGGTTGTCGACGACTCCCTCCATCTCCGGGCGCCAGCGACCGAGATCCGTCACGGCAGCCTCCAGGGCGGTGATGCGTGCATCGCGCTCGTCGAGGTCGTGCTCGACGCGGAGCTGCTGCAACTCACCGCAGGCCGCCTCGAGGAGGTCGAACCGGGCGTCGATGGCCTGGTCCCGAGCGATGCGGTCCTTGTCGAGGTCGGAGAACCGCCGCTCCCACTGTGCCTCGTGGTCGTCAGACCGGCACCCGAATTCGACCTTGGACTGATGGATTTCGTCAAGGATCAGCTTGAGCTGGGGATCCATGGCGCCGAGTGATCTCTGGAAACGGGTATAGTGTGGGTGTGGTGGATCTGTGGCCAGGATGACGAGTCTCTAATACCAGTTGTGAGGAGCACAGCAGCTTGGGGAAGGGGAAAAGAGGAGCAGGGGAAGAACAGCAAGGAATTTAGTTCGGATGAGTGCTTGATCGATAAGAGTTTGTGATACAATTTGTTCATGGTTTGTACTCTCCTCTCGCCTTCCTACTTATACTAGCTAACATTAGGTCCTCCAGGATGGGCCGGCGTAACGGCTGTTGGGCCTCCGGAGCCTCTTGGGCTGGAGCGCGGGCGATGCAGAGGCTGAGCCCGTCGCTGTGCCATCATCAGCAACATCGGGTGGAAGCTGGGTGCTGACATCCCCCTCTTCTTCGGAGCCGGCATGTCCCCAGGCCGGTGCACGCCCGAAAACGCTGACGGAGTGGTAGAAGAGCTTCCCAGGTTGCCAGCTCCGGCGTGGAGTTGCTCCACTGGATGAGTTCTTGCTCAACCGGCTTATCACCAGCAGTCCAGCGGCGTTGCAGTATTTTGTAAGGCACCTGAAACTGAGACAAGGCAGAAGGAAGTGAAGGTGAGACCTGCTGACCACCAGGCGAAAGCTTCAGCTGAGAGACGTGAAAGACGTCGTGGATGGCAGCTGACGATGGTAGCTCAAGCTTTATATGCCACAGCACCAATCCGCTGAAGGATCTTGGATGGCAGCTGACGATGGTAGCTCAAGCTTTATATGCCACAGCACCAATCCGCTGAAGGATCTTGAATGGTCCAAAGAACCGGAAACGGAGTTTGTTGCTGGAACGGCGAGCAACAGACTACTGAACATAGGGCTGCAATTTGAGGAACACCATGTCACCAACAGCAAAGTTGCGTTCCGAACGACCCTTGTCCGCCTGCTTCTTCATTCGAGCTTGTGCACGTAACAGGTGCTGCTTAACCAGGTCCAGCATCCGCATCCAGGATTGCAGATCAGGCACCGGGGCAAGGGAATCAATGTCAAGGCCAAAGTGCCGAGGCTGTTGACCGTACAGCACCTCAAAAGGAGAGCAGCCCAAAGCGGAGTGAGTAGACGAGTTATACCAGAATTCGGCCAAGGACAGCCACTTGCTCCACTGAGAAGGACAGGCATGCACAAAACAGCGTAAATATGTCTCTAAGCACTGATTAACCCGCTCAGTTTGGCCGTCGGACTGTGGGTGATAAGAGGAACTGAGGCGAAGGTTAGTGCCACCGCATTTAAAAGGAGTTGCGAGAACTTACTGGTGAACACACTGTCGCGATCCGATATGATGGATGTAGGGAGGCCATGTAAACGGAAGACAGTGTCCACTGTGAAGGGGTGCTTCAATGGAATGAAATGAGCGAATTTGGAAAACTTATCGACGACAACCAAGATAGCGTTGGCATTGCTCGACTGCGGAAGGCCTTCGATGAAGTCCATAGTGACGACTTCCCAGAATGAGCGAGCATCGGCAGTATTTGAAGGAGCCGAGGATAGCGAACATGCTCGCTTTGCTTGGAGACAGACTGTGCATGACCGAAACGAGGGACCATCTTGCCGACTTAAGCCCCGGTCAATAGAATAGACGCTTGATGCGTTGATAAGTGACTAGGGCACCAGAGTGTCCTCCCCACTGGGCTAGAATGGAACTCCTGGAGCACCTGTCGCTGCAATGTGTGACTGGAGCCCAACCAAATACGATTCTTGTGCCGGAGAACTCCTTTAGACAGAGAAAATGGAGGACAGGAGGTTGGAGCGACTGTCAGCTTGGTGATCAACTCCTGTGCGGCAGCATCAGACTCGTAAGAGTGGACAATATCAGCGAGCCATTGATGTTGCACTGAAGAAATGGCGAGCACGAGCGGAGGGTGCAGTCACCGGGACAGGGCGTCGGCAGCACCATTGTCACAACCTTTGCGGTACTAAATGCGGTACTGGAGTCCTTGCAGTCGAGCAAAGACCTTCTGTTGCCATGCTTTGTGGAGGGCTGCTCGCTCGTTCGGTGGGTTAAGCTTCGATGGTCGGTATGAATGACGAACTCCGCTTGCAACAGATAGTGGCGCCACTTATCCACGGCCATAAGAATGGCTAAGTACTCCTTCTCGTAAACAGTGAGGCCTTGAGTGTGTTGGCTAAGAGGCTTACTGATAAAAGCCAACGGGTGCCCATTCTGATGCAACACCGCGCCTATACCGGAACCAGATGCATCGGTGTCGATATGAAACGGCTGAGAGAAGTCCGGCAAGGCCAACACCGGAGCAGAACAGAGGGCATCCTTCAGCAATTGGAATGCCTCAGCGTGAGTGGGAGTCCACACAAACATCTGATCTTTCTTAAGAAGCTCAGTGAGAGGCTTGGCAATAATGTTGAAGTGGCGGACGAACTTTCGATAGTAACCTGCAAGTCCCAAGAAGCCACGCAACTCCTTCACTGTTGTCGGAACTGGCCAATCAACAACTGCTTGGATCTTGGAAGCATCGGTAGAAAGACCGGCAGCACTAACCACATGGCCAAAATAAGGCATGGACTCACGGGCAAAACTGCACTTTGAGAGCTTCAATTTCCATTGATCAGTACGCAACCACTGGAATACTTGCTGAATGTGACTGAGATGCTCCTCAAGGCTGCAGCTATAGATCAAGATGTCGTCAAAGAATACCAAGACGAATTTACTAAGACCAGGTGCAAGCGTTACGTTCATGGCCCCTTGGAAGGTGCCCGGAGCGCCTATGAGGCCGAAGGCCATAACATTGAACTCAAACTGCCCGAAGTGAGTCTGAAATGCCGTCTTATATTCCTCACCCGAGCGGAGCAGGATTTGATGGAATCCCGACCGAAGATCCAGTGTCGAGAACCAACGGGCACCATGAAGCTCATCCATGAGTTCATCAAAAACAGGGACTAGAAACTTGGATTTCTGTGTGAGTGCATTGAGATGGCGAAAATCAACACAGAATCGGTATGAATCATCCTTCTTTTTGACCAGTAAGACAGGCGAAGAGAATGCACTGACGCTCGGCCGGATGATACCCTGTTGAAGCATAGATTGTACTTGCGTCTCGATCTCGTCTTTCAGTTTCGGAGGATAACGATATGGCCGAATAAAGATTGGCTGCGCCCCGGGTACCAGCGGAATCTCGTGATCACAAGCTCTTGAAGGAGGAAGGCCTGTAGGTTCTTGAAAGAGGTCACTGAACTCCTCAAGCAATGGCTGCACTGCCGGATGAACTGCCGGAGAAGGACTGATGACAGCAGAGTGACTAGGCAACAGCTCAACTTGCAGGAGTACGTGCTGAGGAAGAGCCGGAGACAAACCCTGAAGAATCCGGACCTGACCATCATGGGGCACGGCCAACCATTTGCACCGCCAATCAACTTGCATCGGACTATGTTCTTCAAGCCAGTCCATACCAATGATAACATCAAAATTGGCCAAAGGCAGAGTCCTAAAGTTGGATCTGAATGTGCAGCCATCCACTGTCCACGGTACATCAACAAGAACAGACTGGCTGACCAATCGGCCTCCGCCGGCGACCTGAACTGAGCTTGGCGCTGAGAGCAACTGAACATCAGGCAACTGAGACAACAAGGACTGATTAACAAACGAGGAAGAACTGCCAGAGTCAATCAAAATCTGCACAGGCACTTGGTGAATGGTACCGATCAGTTGGACAGTACACGATGCAGGAATCCCAGAACTTGCAGATTTGGACAACGCCGACATCAGTTGCTCCGCTGGGCTGTCCTCAAGTAGACGAATCAGCCAAGGAGTCATCAGAGGAGACGGAATCCCAAAGAGCATCCACTGCTTGCAGGACTTCAGGCGCACATCGATGATCGTGGCTCCACTTGGCGCCGCACTTGTAGAGAGAGGCCCAGTGCGCGCCGATATGTCTTGAGGGCTTGGAGCTTGACATCAACGGTGGCGGCGCCGGGCTGCAGGCACCACCGGGACAGTGCCAGGCTTCTCGGCGCGTGGTGAAGGCGGTGGAAGCAGCAACGGCACACGTGCTTGGGGGGCAGTCTGATACGCCGAGTACCAATCAACAGCACGTGCCGGCTTGGGCCCAGACACCTCTTCCCGCAACAAGGCCAAAGAGCAGGCAGTATCGAAAGTTTTTGGGCGTTGGACAAGCACGATGGCTTTGATGTCAGGTTTGAGACCGTCAATGAACCGCATAGTAAAATACATGGGGTCATTAGTTGGGGAATAGGACTTGAGTTGATCCACCAGTTCCGAGAATTCAGTAACATAGGCAGAGACAGTGGTTTTCTGATAGATGTTGAAGAGTTGGCGATGAAGCAATTCGTGCTGATCGCGATCAAAGCGATCGTGAAGAAGTTGACAGAAGGTTGCCCATGTGGCATTCTCAAGCTGGGGGTGATGGATTGGTACCAACGATCTGCAGGGCCTTCGAGATACATCTCGGCAACACTGAGCCACATGAGTTCATCGACTTGGTACATAGAGAAATACTTTTCACAGCGACGACGCCACGCCAACGGCGAGGGTTCTCACCATTAAACTTGGGAAAGGGAAGCTTGGGTAAACGGCCGAGGTTGGCAGCAATGTGGGTGGAATCGGGGGTATTGCAACATTTGTGCAAGGGGGTGGGGTGATGACTGATAGGTGTGGGCGGAGGCACCGGGTGGGTCTGGGAAATTGGGGGAGGCTGATGGATCGGTTGGAATTGAGGAAGTGGAGGACGATGAGGGATTAGTGGTTTGGGATCAGGAACTGGTGGCGGACGAGGAAGTTGAATACCAGGAAGCGGGACATGAGAAGGTGACGGCGAGGACATACCCGATGCCGGGACATGAGTCCACGTCGTAACGACGCCAGACCCAACATCCCGTGGAGTCACAGCAACGCAGTGCCCGCTGGGCGAAGTAGAGGAGGATCCGACGGTGGCGAAAGCGGACGTCGCCGGCGGTGAGGGAAAAACGCCAGGCTCCCGTTGCGGCGCAGTGTCGAACACCACGCGGTCGTAGTGCTTGGACATCCTCTGAACCTTCAGCGTTAGGTTGTCGACGACTCCCTCCATCTCCGGGCGCTAGCGACCGAGATCCGTCACGGCAGCCTCCAGGGCGGTGATGCGTGCATCGCGCTCGTCGAGGTCGTGCTCGACGCGGAGCTGCTGCAACTCACCACAGGCCGCCTCGAGGAGGTCGAACCGGGCGTCGACGGCCTGGTCCCGAGCGATGCGGTCCTTGTCGAGGTCGGAGAACCGCCGCTCCCACTGCGCCTCGTGGTCGTCAGACTGGCGCCCGAATTCGACCTTGGACAGATGGATTTCGTCAAGGATCAGCTTGAGCTGGGGATCCATGGCGCCGAGTGATCTCTGGAAACGGGTATAGTGTGGGTGTGGTGGATCTGTGGCCAGGATGACGAGTCTCTAATACCAGTTGTGAGGAGCACAGCAGCTTGGGGAAGGGGAAAAGAGGAGCAGGGGAAGAACAGCAAGGAATTTAGTTCGGATGAGTGCTTGATCGATAAGAGTTAGTGATACAATTTGTTCATGGTTTGTACTCTCCTCTCGCCTTCCTACTTATACTAGCTAACATTAGGTCCTCCAGGATGGGCCGGCGTAACGGCTGTTGGACCTCCGGAGCCTCTTGGGCTGGAGCGCGGGCGATGCAGAGGCTGAGCCCGTCGCTGTGCCATCATCAGCAACATCCGGTGGAAGCTGGGTGCTGACACAACCACACCTTGCGTAGATTAAAAAAAAATCTTAACGTTATGTGTACATAAGTTCAGCGGTCTTCAGCGTCACTGCTCTAACTTTTTTATGCCCTCTATGCCACTGCCGTCAGTTAACAGTGTCAAACTGCAGGTGTAAAAAGTCAAAAATACTCTTAAGTCTAAATATGTCATTAATTTTTTGAGCATCTTAACGACTTCAAATGAAAAAACTCAAATCTAAAAAGTTGTAGATCTCGTCGAGATCTATAATTTTCATATAAAAATTATCTTTATTTAATTTCGCAAAAAAAATAATTTTTCTAAGATATATTAATCATATAATTATATTTTTTTGCGGAATTAAATGAAGATAAATTTTATATGAAAATTATAGATCACGACGAGATCTACAACTTTCTAGTTTTGAGTTTTTTCATTTGAAGTCGTTAAGATGCTCAAAAAAATTAATGACATATTTAGACTTAAGGGTATTTTCGACTTTTGATACCTACAGTTTGACACCGTTATAATCCAAACTGATGGCAGTAGTACGGAGGATACAAAAAATTGGAGCAGTGACGCTGAAGACCGCTGAACTTTTCTAAAGGCTCACAGAACATTGTGATCTTTTTTAATGGCACGTAGAGAATTCTCCCGCGAGATTTATTGATCTCTCACGTCGTACGCTGCTGCGAAGAGCCGCACAGTGGTTCCGCCGTGTAACTTTAGTAGAGCATCTTTATAGTGACATCGTACATCATTGCACGACCAGACAGAACATACATCCAGGAACATGCATGGTCTTCTCACAAGATATTACCTTACCTTGGACTTACACCCCAACTGGCAAAGGCCGAGGCGGGTGCCCTTCCGCTTGTCGGCATCGATCGCCCGGCAAAGAAGATCCTCAGGTGGCTCTCACAGCCACAGCAGGGGACGATGGACAGGAGCCAACTGAGAGTCATGTCTATCGTTGGTCCTATGGGGATAGGCAAGACAACTCTTGCTGTGGATCTCTGCAATCGAATCAGGCATCATGAAACTAGTGGAGGACACTACTATTTCCAATGCAACGTTATGGCTCAAGCATCAGGTGGGGCTGATAGGAACATTCTTCTTCTTCAAGGGGGAGTGTTCGGCTGGTACGAAATTTATACCGTTCATGTTGAAAAACACTGTTCATGCTGAAATGTTGTGATAGGAAAACACTGCTCCGGCTGAAAAAATAAACCGAACAGATCAGCCGAACACTCCCGAGCTTTGGCATGATTATATATCTTTAATCTGCAAATATATTCTTTCTCATAATGCATCCGGCTGGCCAGGTATTTTGTCATTATCGATGATTTATGGGAAGCATCAGACTGGTGGAAAATCGAACCCGCATTCCCTAGGAATAATCTTGATAGCCGAATATTGGTTACAACACGCAGTACAATTACAGCATGGTGGGCATGTTGCTCCGATTCTTATGATGGCCTTGTGCATGAGATGAAACCTCTAAGTGAAGTGGATTCAGAAAGTCTGCTGTTGAAGATACCAGGTCTCCGACAGGGATTAGGCCGTGTGGCGACTAAGGGATCTCCAAGCGGTGCCTCGGGGTGCATGATCTGGTTTGGACACGGAGTAACTGTAGACTTAGAGTTTCATAAATGCTCTCCCCCTTTTACACTGGCTGCCCTTCTCTTTTTATAGGGTGCCCCTTTGCCATTTATGCTCATTACATTTTTGCTCCCCAACTGCTCCGGAATATCCTCAAGATATTCTGGCCCAAGTTCTAACCCTCAAGGTCCTTCTAGGCTTTCCTCATCGGCCCTCTTTGCGCGCTACTGGCCTTGACATTGAGCCCAACACCAGCCCATCTTGTGTTCCGGGACCGGGATCACCTTGAGGTCTCCATTCGATGCCTCCGCTTGGGGCCTTCGCCGGGCCTTCGCCCCTGATGCCTCTCCGCTTGTCCTCGGTGGCCGCCTCCTGACACGCAGTGCAATACCTCCGCTGCTCGTCGTCGGGAGGCGCCGCTTGAGCCTGGAGGAGGCTCCCTCGGTGGTGGCGCCTGTTCCGACCATGCGAGCCTTCGCTTTCGCCAGTGCCTTCGCTCCGCCCCTTCTCCCAGCGGAGGCTTCCTTGCGAATCTCTTGGACATGATAATGCAACCCATGATGTTAGTTCCTCAGCTCTCCGGCAGCCTGAGTGCCAATGTCCCAACATCTGCTCCAAGCAAAAGCAGTTGGTTCAATGGATGGTTGCCTGCCGAATATTTTGAAGGTACATTGTGATGAAATATATTAAGGAGATGTGATGGTGTACCATCTACTCTTATCAAAGCAGGTTACTTCGGCTGATGCTCAGGCCATCCACGGTAGCAAAATTGTTTTGGTCCGTTTGATCGCAGCTTGGACGTCTAGATCCTTGTTACCTCTGTACGTTACCTCCGTACACGCGTGGCTAAAAATATCTACCGAGACCGACGTCTTCTCGCCCCTTCCTCTCCGTCTCCCCCGCCTCTCTCTTTCTCTCCCTCCCTCCAGATCTGGTGGTGCACCGGCCGGCCCGGCCTGGGGCGGCAAATCCTCTAGCGTATCTTGGTGGCAGCCAGCCTCCTTGGCCTGGCGCAGCCTGGGTCTGGCGGTCCGCTGTCCTCTCCAAGGCGTGGCGCGCATCTCTCTCTCTCTCTCGTCTTCGCTCCCGACATGGCGGCGTGCCACCCCGCAAGAAGAAAGCCGGTGGATCCCGCTGACTGCGACCGGCCATGGAGAGTCTGTGCCCCCCACCCCTATAAGCGGCACAATGGCAAGCGCCGCCGCCCAGCATGTAGGTGGCCCCCTAGCAAGGGACCTCTGCATAGCACGGCGCCGGCGGCGCAGCATGGCCACCGACATGGGCCACGGCACCTCCCCACCCCCGCCTCGTGCGGGCTGGTGCAGGTGCCTCACGCAACTCCGCTGTTCCTCGTGTCATCGGCTCGCCGGTTCGCTCCACTTACCCTTCTCTCTCTCCTTACCTCAGTGCGGTGATGTTGCTCCCTTGCATTATTTTTCACTGCATGTGACATTTGGAGGGGGATCTTGGTGAAAGGAGGCAAACGAACAAGGCAAGGTCAGTTTCACCATAGATCTATTGTTGTTCTCACTAAACGATATATGTTAATACAAATTGTTTTGTGTTGTGTAGGGAGTGGCCTACTCGTTTCGGCTGGTCTTGAGAGCAGGCAACTGTTGTGCCATGGATCTGAGCATGTGATGCTGTCGATGGTATTTGTTCCAGGTCTCAGTGTACGACAAAAAATGAGACTATCTATACTACATTCCTGGTGATTTCTGGTTTACTCTTTGCATTTTGGTCACTTGCAATGATGAATACACTTTTCTCTTCGCGTGACATTTTACTTTGAGGGAATGGGCTGCTGCTGTGATGATTACACCATAAATTATGTTCAGTATTTGATGCAATGATTGCTCTTCCTTTCTTTTATACATGACGTATGAGGCAATGATCATGAGCTCTAAATTCTATTTTTGTCATCGTTTTTTACCTGTTCCATGATAGTTGGGGTGATGGTCAATTGGTTGTTCCTTTTTTTGGCGTTTCTTCTGATCTATTCTAGGTTTGGAGGTACCAGTGAGAGTGATGATTTCCTCCTTTCTGTACTCTCATGATTTCCTTTTGTTTTCCACTCACACTTGCTTATGATCATTGCCTACGATGTCAATAAACACATAATTGTGTTGTCTGAGCTTGTGTTTATTGCCTGAGAAGTGATAGATATATTCTTGTTCATTCTGGCCTTGTGATCATTGTCTATGATCGTTGGTTGTGACGACAGATTATATATTGTTAGTTCTGAGCGCATGCCCTATTCCCAACAATTATGTTCTTAGGCTTTTGGCTCTCCTGTTTTTTTGAGTTTTCGGTTCAATTATGTGCATTGGTCCTCTTTCAACTCAATTAATTGGAGTACCTGCAGCTGCAAGCCTGAGGAAGAAATACAACAAAGGTCAGTGTTTTCTTGCTTTGGAAGTTTATCTAATCTTAGGTTTATTGTATGTGACCGGTAATGTCCTTCGTTCCTCATTTCGAATAGGAGCAACCAGGCTACTACTCACGAGAGTTCGTTATTGCATATAGAGGTTGATGATGAAGCAAGTGATGTATCCAAATTCACTCAGCCGGTTAGCCCATCTTGAAGCTATTGGGACATGTTAAAGTAGACATGCTCAGATGGTCTCTCCATAATACAAACAGGTACTCAGTCAAATAAACGAATATGCAACAAAATGCCTAAATTTACTTGATATTCTATAATATGTATATTGTTTATGCCATCTACTTCTATGCATGTAGTACTACCTGCTATTATGGGTTATTCCTTTTGATGGCCATATCTATTGTTCCCGTCCTATGGCTATAGATACATATCCGTCTGCACATGTATTCCCATCTTCCTTCTGTCATTTAGCTACAGATTGGCTCATCCTCCAGAGCTCATTACTATTCCTTCTCTAATAAATTACACGGTGCTAACCTTACATGCTGCTCTAGGTCATTTGTTAGGATGCTAAACCATGCATGCTAGCTTCTAAACTTGAACTTGAACATGAATCTTAGTGTTAGTTTTTCCTTATATGTCAAGGGCCTCTGTTT